CTGTGGGGGCGATATGCTGACTCTGTAAACCGCTTAGAGAGGGCTGAAAGCCCTATGAAGCGGTGTATAAGTCTAACTGCTATTGCTATTGCTAGATCCCTTTCAGACATTGCATTTGCATAGCACTAGAGACTGCTGGGAAGAGCTGCTCACTGTAAGTTCAGGAGGACTGAGACGAAGTCCTGTGGACCAAGATAGGCACCTAGGAGCTGAGTTACTGGTTGCATCTGCATTGCATTTGTATACCACCAGAGACTGCTGGGAAGAGCTGTTCAATGTGAGTTCAGGAAGACTGAACTCCTATAAAGCATTCATTTTTTTAATTGAATAATTTTTATTTTCTGAAGCAAGCAAAGATGAGTTCCAAGTTGAACAAAAATGCAACTTAATTAATAAATCAGTTGCAGAATAAGTCTTGGGCTCTATAAAGTAGATTTCTTGGCAAATCATAGGATAAGTATCATTAAATCAAAAGCATGTTGTTCCTCATGCCAAGCTGTTAAATTTTTCTGCTAGTTTAAACATATACTATTGAAGATGGCAGTGAAGCATCTTTGAGAATGAAAAAAGCTACCAAGGTTGTTAGGTGAAAGCAAAAGGTAAGGAATTTACAAATTGTAAATTACAATTTAGGCATTTCCAATTTAAATAAGGGATGAGTAAAGAGTGAGTGCAATGAGAGAAGATACGATTTATCAGTATAACATATATCTCCTCTTTCTTCCTAAACATCAGTCACTCTTAGTTTTTAAAAATAATCTTATTAAAAGTTGTAATTACAATAGTAAAAGAAAGAAAAAGGAAAGAAAAAAATGAAAAAAGAAAAAATAGAAACAGAAAAGCTAAGAAAGAAACTTCCCACCTTCATCATGACAACTATTAACCATTTCATAATCTCTTTGTGTACTTCACAAGAACCAGGAAGAATGGGGACAACCAGTTGGCGCCATGGCGGCAATAGTCTGGAAATAGTGGAGCTCCATCGAGCTCCATGAAAACCGGCTGGTATCTGCTTGTCAGGAGACACTATAGGGTCAAAGCTGCCCCGGAGGAGTGGTAAAGAAAGGAGAGGTGCTTTGCCAACCATGAGGAT